AGAGCAGAGGGTGGGTGAATCTGCAGGGTAGAGTAGAGGAGAGAAGAGTGATCTTAGCAGCTGCACTCTGGATGGACAGCAAAGGAGACAGCAGGACCTTGCAGACTGCAGCAGGCAACTCGTTTGTTTCTCCAGCCCCCCCAGCCCCTGACCTGACACTGACTCTGCCAGTTTCCCCATAGCTCAGGAGGCTGGTCTGCTGCAAGCTGGTTCCTAGCTTGGTACTCACTGACCCTAGCTGCCTTGAGAGGGGGCTGAGCTGACAGCTCTACCAAGTGGCAGAAAACTTCTTGGGCATGAGGCTGTGAAGCCACAGACTGAGGCCAGAACTGAGGCAGAAGATGGTGTTGGTGTTAGGAGCTGTAACTGCCCTCTGTCCACATCTCCCTGGCATGAAGCACCAGACCAAGAGCCAACCATGACTTTGAGCTGGAGAGGGTGGCAGGCAGGGAGATTGCTGAGTATGGTGATGCAGCTGGGGTGGTTCTCTGCCCAGAGCTTGCCCCTTGGAACCATCCCAGGAGATGTGATGGGCAATGCGACATCCCCATGGTGTCAGCAGGGTGGATCCAGAGAGGGTGGGGTTCTGTAGCCATATCCCCCTTTTTTGACCACACTGCAGGAGCAGCAGAGACTCTTCTTAAGACTCTGTAGCAAGTAAGAATCCCCCTCTATTAGCACCCACCATTCCCCTCCATGTTCAGCAGTACCTTCCCTCCCCTCTCATTCCCTCTTCCCCCACATCCTGCTGCCACTACTCCTGGCTGCCCTGGGAGAAGGGAAGCTTCAGAGCTGCTCCTGCCTTGCTCTGTCTGGGGGACTTGAGAAGCCAGGCTCAGCCTGAGATAGCAGCAGTGGGTGCGGGTGGTTCCCCTCCCTTCTGGATGTAGAGCAGCAGCAGCATGGGGTGGTGGGTGGCAGTGGTAGCTGCTGTGTGCCACCTTCCCCCCACAGTGGCTGGCTGGTGGGCATCTGTGTCACTGGCAAAGGGGTGCCAGTGCCCTGGCCTCTCTCGGCCCTGCTCCTGGGAGGTGGTGGCACAGGGTGGTGACACTCTGTCCCCGCCTGCCCATGTGTACCCCCCCTAGGCCCTTTCCAAATACTCTGGGGGTATGTGGACCCCTGGTTGACAACCCCTGCTCTACTACATAATGCCATTCAGAGCAATCTCAGCCTGGAGAACAGATCAGTGCAGCTTGATCACTGATCTTAGCTCAGTAATTTTTTTTTTTTGTGAAAATTTTTAATGTTCCAGGTCAAATTAGCCAGATCAAATCTGAATCCATTTGAATCAGTCAAGAACCATATGTGACCCTGCTACTGGGCTAGTATCCTCCACCCTAGCCTGGGGCTTCAGATGCTTCCAAATCCTTTGGCAGTCATCCTGCATGCGGACCCAAACCTGGAGGCTTGGGGTTCCACCCTCGAGTTTCATTTGCCTTCAGCCATATGGCCACAGGAGCAAGCTAGGGAGGAGTCTCTCATTTCCATAAAGTCAGCGTGTTGCCGAGATCCTCCCACTGGAAACTGCCTAGTGAGAAGCTAACTATGAGGCTCTCATAGGGAGCCCTGTCCGCAAGCAGACAAGGGTGCACCCTCCACTATACAGTGCCATTTTTAACTGCATTTTCAGCTTGGGTATCAGACCAGCGTAGCTGAAAATGCAATTCATTACATATCTTACATGTTCAGTTACACTTGATCTTAGCCCAGCATCGCCTGCAAGCAAAGCTAAACCCTTGCTGCGTGTTTGCCCAGGAGGAGACAACCAAGGCAGCTGGGAGCAAAGTCCTGGAGAAGGTGGCAGCAACAAGGACTGGAGAACGTTGCTTTCAGTCTTCCCACACCCCCCAGCACCCTACTGATGCCATGAGGGGGTGAGAGCCTCTTTGGTCCTGCCCTAGGAAGCAACACCCCCTGACTCAATCAGCCTTGTTCCAAGAGCCTTCAGGTCCCCAAGGGATGGGGCAGGCGGGCTGTGCCCCTGCCCGGGGCTCCCAACAGCGGGCCGGGTCGCTGCCCACCACCTGTTCGCACCCGGGGCGACGGCGGAAACAGTCACCCCGCCGACCCCGCCACGAGGGGAGCGAAAAGAGCCACTGGAAATTTCCACTCGCGCAAGCCCCACCCCTTCCGCGGGTGGCTTCCGCCTGAATCCCACAGTGCACCGCGCAGCAAAGATGGTGGTTCCCGTGCAGCGCGGCTTGGCTCGGCTGCCCCTCCGGGTTTGCCTGCAGGTGGGTACGGGGCTCGGTCGAGCTGCAGCTCCCCCATCTCCTCCTGCTCGAGGCTGGCAGGGGCAGGGGCAGGGGCTCAGAACATGCCACCTCCTGGTTTCTATTTGCCTTTTGCCTGCGGAAAGGTAACAGCCGTTTCCCCCCCTGCCAAGACCTCGGGAAGAGCACAACAGATGGGGAGGCTTTGGGGCGGCCTGTGTGAAATCCCTGCTGTTGGGCTTGTGAATTGTGTTTGCGACGTAACAGCGTTGGTAGGATCTTGGGGCTCCTGGGGTGCCGGGTAAAATCACTGGTTGGAGGGAGTGTGGTCCAGCATTGGAACAGGCTACTTAGAAAAGTTTTGGACTCTATCCCTGGAAATGCACAAGAGCAGGTGTTGGTTGTAGCGGTGTTGGTCTACGATCAGGGTTCTCTGGGTCGACGTGATATCTTTTACTAGACCAACTAAACAGTTGGGAAAATTGTTCTTTGCAAGCTGCTGGGCACAAACGCCCTTCTTCAGGCATAGGGAGAGTCTGCTGTTGGCTTCTACCTCACCCAGGAGAACACAGATCAACAGCAGACTCTACCTATGCCTGAAGAAGGGTGTTTGTGCCCAGAAGCTTGCAAAGAACATTTTTTCTAACTATTTAGTTGGTCTAATACAAGGTATCATATTTACCCAAAGAACCTTGTTTGCAAAGTAGGATGAACAGAGACTTGGCTGGGATGGCTTAGAGGAGTAGCTAGCTGTCTTAGTCTGAAGTCAGTCAGAAGGCACCTTTATAGGCTAATTAAATAAGATGTGCATATAAATAGAGAGATGGAGGGAGAGCACACTAGGGTTCATGAACTCAAGTTCTAAGATGGGAAACTCCCTTCTGGAGAGCACGGAGGCAGAAA